CTGCCATGCTGTACCAACCCTGGGACTTACAATGGGCTTAAGTTAATGGTCTGCCGTGTGGTTTAGTAACATCGGGACTGTGCGTTTTTACTTGTCAACCTTGGGGCTTCTCAGCCTCAGCAGCCAGCAGCTGTCTGAGAGAAGAAATGCCTCTAGCTTCAGTGGACTGGGAGCAGGAGGCAAAGCTGGACCCCAAGGTTGAGGGGCTTTCACCCAGGCCCTAGAGCCTGGCACTTTGAACTCAGACTTAAAGCCTCTGAACTGTAAGAATAAGCTCCTGTTTGTTAAAGCCACCCCATTTGTGGTATATTCCTATCAGAGCGGCACTAGGGAACCAATACAGCGTGTTTTTCTATTCTCTTTTTTATTAACTTTTTACTGTGATTTGGATGAAAGTTCACAGAATAAATGGTTTTCTATTCAACAACTCGTACACATTTAGTTTTGTGACACTGACTACAATCCTCATGACGTCACAGCTTTCTTCCCACTTCCTCCCTCTGGTTACCTTTTCCATTTGTCCTTTCCTGCCCATTCCTGCCTTCTGAGCCAACACTGCCCTTTTGATTGCTATCTTGGGGTGCTCTAAGAAGTGCGGACCTCCCTGGGTACCGTGTGCCTTATGGCCTGCCTGTTTTTGGCTGGAAGTTGAGACACAGGGCTGAGCTCAGTTCTAGGCCGGAAGGACAACTAGGGGCCGCAGTCTCCGGGCTTCCACCGTCTCTATCAGACCAGTAAGCCTGGTCTTTTTTAGGATTTTTGAGTTTTGTTCCACGTTGTTCCCCCACTCTCTCCAGGACTTCCTATTCTGATCCCTTTCAGAGTGGCCAGCAGTCGGGCACCGTCTAGATCTTCCGGTCCTAGGGTCGTGGAGGCTGGGGCCACGTGGTCCATTAGTCCATTGGACTCATCGTTTCCGTGGGTCTCTGATTTCCTTCACTCTTCTTTGCTCAGGACGGGGAGAGACCAGTTGTTGCCCCTTAGATGGCCATGCAGAAGCTCTTAAGACCCCAGTCATTGCTCACCAAAATACGACACAGAACGCTGTCCTTGTGGACTGTGTTATGCCGATTGGCTTTGACGCCTGCCATCAGCATGTTTCCAAGGTCCATCTGTGATGGAGCATGTGTTCATCCATGGCATAGGGTGTATCCATCCGTGATGGAGCATGTGTTCATTCATGGTGTAGCGTGTATCCATCCATGGTGTAGCGTGTGTTCGTCCATGGCATAGCATGTATCCATCCATGGCGTAGCGTGTGTTCATCCATGGCATAGTGTGTATCCATCCATGATGGAGCATGTGTTCGTCCTTGGCGTAGCATGTGTTCATCCATGGTGTAGTGTGTATCCGTCCATGGCGTAGCGTGTGTCAGCACTTCATTGCTCTTCACAGCCAAGCAATATTCCATTGTGTGAGGGACCACGCTGTGTTTACCTGTCGCCTGTCGAGGGACACGTGGGTCCTGGGCACCTTTTGGGTCTTGTGAACAGTGCTGCGGTGAATATTGGTGTGCAGGTTTCTGTGTGGACACATGTTGTCTTTGCCCTTGGGTCTGTACCTGAGACTGGAATTGCTGGGTCGTTTGGTAACTCCATAGGAGGATCTGCAGTTCAAACCCAGCAGCCGCCCGTGGGAGGCAGATGGACCCCTGTGAGTCAGAACTGATTCAACAGCAGTGAGTTGGGGTTGACCTCCTCTGGCTACGGTCTTGGTCTCCATGAGTACCACCAGTTGACTGGGTGGGACTATGCCAGTGGGAGGTGCTTGTGGCCCACCAATGGGATTGGAGAGCTTACTAATAATGTAAATAAGGTGCATGGCCCCCTTATGGAGATCCAAAAAAACACCAAAGTCACTGCCGTGGAGTCAGGTCCGACTCCTAGCGACCCCTCCTTGGGTTTCCGAGGCGGTGTCTCTACAGAAGTAGAGTGCCCAGTCTTTCTTCCAAGCAGTGGCTGGTGGCTTTGAACTGCCAGCCACTCTCATGGGGATGACATAAGAGCTCTCGATGCCACCAGAGCTCCTCTTATGGGAATGACAGCGTGCAAATAAGATGTATGGAACCCTAATGTGGGGACTGCTCAGTTTTGCCATCTCACTGTGCTTAAAATGAACCGTCCCGGAGGTGGGACAGGGAGGCTCTCACGACCATCAGGAGAAAGAAGCAGGATGGAGCATGCCCTGGAGCCGGGATCCCTGAGCAGAGACGACGACGACGGCAGAACGATGGGCGGCAACACCAGGAGAGGGGCCTGAGGCGAGTGGAGGACCTGCTGGCCAGCAGAGCGAGAAGCTGAGTGCCTTTGGGAAGGCGCTTGCTGTGGAGTGGGTGCGCCTGTCAACCAAAAAACCCAAATTCACTGCCATCAGGTAAACTCAACTCACAGCAACCCCTCCTTGGGTTTCCCAGGCCGTAGCTCCACGGAAATGGATTGCCCAGTCTTTCTTCCGAGGAGTGCCTGGTGGGTTTGAACTGTCAGCCTTCTGGTTAGCAGTCAAATCCCTTAGGCACTAAGGCACTGGAGCTGCGGGGTGCACCTATTAGCAAGCGCTAAAAGAGCTTTGTAACAGTGGCCCATGCAGAGCCGAGGGGCCAGAGCGGCCAAGGGGAGGCTGTCCTGAGGAAGAGCTGTACCCTGAGCTTCCTGGTCCTGGACTGTGACCTGTTACTTCCCTAATAGGAAGCTCTGGTGGCCTAGTGCCTAAAGCATTTGACCACTAACCAGAAGACAGGAGGTTCAAACCCACCAGCGACTCCTTGGAAGGAAGGTTGAGCAATCTACTTCCTTAGAGACAGTGCCTCGGAAACCCAAGGAGGGGTCGCTAGGAGTTGGATCCGACTTGAAGGCAGTGCATTGCATTCTGTTACTTCCCTAATAAACCCCATAATCATGAATATGGTCTGTGAGTTCTGTGTGGCCATTGCAGTGAATTATGGAACCCAGCAGAGAAGCAGTGAGTGCCGTGGGAGGGATGGTTGGTGTCAGAACTGGTAAAAGGCTGGAGGGTGACGGCGTGTCTGACCTCCACCTCGTAGGACAGCCATGGGCTGCTGGTGATCCTCTTCATTCTCTGTCCCCCTCATAAAGTTAGACGCAGTCAGGCAGCTCACACACAAAGGGGCACAGGGTTTTGCTTTGGGGGATGGGCTATTCTAGAATTCCATGGAGGTGAAAATTGCACGACCCCGGATTGCACACTCTAGGGTGAATTGCATGATACATGACCTACATCTCAATGAAGCTATTGTAAACAAACACCGGCGACCACTCACGCGGGCAGGCGACCGCGCGTATGCGTCCCTCCCCATGGCCCTCACCGTCCAGCCTGAGCCCTCAGCCATTTTTGAACAAGGGACCTGAGTGACCCTCCTGGGGGGCATTCAGGAGGGCAGGGTTGACACGTGGGGATTTCCTGGGGTCTGCTCCGGGCCCTGTGCTCTATGTGATGGGAGTGATCTCACTCTATCCTGTGGCCACCCACTACCAGCTCATTTCACTGCAGAGGCACTGAGGCTCAGGCAAGTGACGTGACCACACAGGTCCCCAGGGGCTGATCCCATAGCTCCAAGCACGGAGACATGGGGTCTGAGCCTGGGCACACAGAAGCCCCCCATCTCAGTCTCGGAGTCATGAAAACTTGGGTGTCTGCCACACCCCTGCGTGACCTCCTGGGTGGGGAGGAGGGCTTCAGGGAAACCCCTGAGCCACGAGAAAGGCATCCCGATGCCCGGGCGGACCGGTTACACCTCCCGGCAGCTCTGTGTCCTCACCCCGATGCTATTTAAAGTGTCGCCTGGGGCCCAGGACAGGGCAGTGGGGAGCAGGGAGACAGGGATCGGAGCCATGATGCGTCCTGGTGAGGCCCTGCAGAGTCGCTGCCCTCCTTGGGCCTTGGTCTCCCCACTTGTCAGTGACAAGTCTGGGTCAAGACTCCAAAGCCTTTGCTGGCTTCACTCTTGGGGCACAGAACCCCCAGGGCACAAGCGGACAGGTGGGAGTGAGCACTGGCCTCCGGACCCCCCGGGGTTGGAGCCTCGCTTGGTGGTTCTGGTGGGACGTGAATGCAGCTGCAAACAGAAGCAGCTGTGTGTGCAAAGCGCTGCAGGTGGGTGGCTGGTGCTCACTGTCACGGCGTCGCTGTCTGCACTGGTCAGCCTGTCATAGGTCACCCACAGCCCGTCCGGCTGGTCAACATCTGCCGGTCCTCCCCCCATCCTCCACCCTCCTGGGGGACAGACATGTCTCTGCCTTGCTCTGCGTCTGTCTCTCTGTGTCTTGGTTTTGCTGTCTCTCTCTGCTTCCCTGTCTCTGTGTCTCTATCTCTCTGTCTCTCGCCATCTCTCTGTGTCTGTCTGTCTCGCTTGCCTCTGTTTCCCTTTCTCTCTCCTGTCTCTCGGTATCTCTGTCTCTGTCTCGCTGTGCCGCTCTCGGTATCTCTGGCCCCGCCTCTCACGCTCACGTCCCCGCAGCCCCCGCAGGCCCAGGTCCAAGCCAATCCTGTGACTCACGGACACTCGCTGTCCTCCCCGCCCCGCAAGACAAACAAACACGCGCGGGGGCCGAAGCGCGTTTTTCTGAATGGGCCCCGCCCCGAACTCTGGTCCCGCCCCTGAGGCCCCATTGGTCAGCTCCCGGTTCAAGGTCTCACCGCGCCCCTGGCCTCGCCCCCACAAGCCCCCCTAGTCCCGCCTCCGAGGCTCACCCATTGGTTCGCTTGGGGCAGCCCTGTTAGGGCGCTCCGCCCCTGCCCGCGCAATGGCAGAATCGCGGACTCGCGCGGGGAGGCAAGAGCTGGCGGCCAGAGGGGCAAGGCCCACGAGCGCGGGGGGCGCGGGGCCATGCGCAGCCGCCTGTGGCTGGGCCTGGCGTGGCTGCTGCTGGCGCGGGGGCCGAGTGTCGCGGGGACCGCGAGCGGCCCGCGGAGGCCGCGCAGCTATCCGCACCTGGAGGGCGATGTGCGCTGGCGGCGCCTCTTCTCCTCCACCCACTTCTTCCTGCGCGTGGATCCCGGTGGCCGAGTACAGGGCACCCGCTGGCGCCACAGCCCCGACAGTGAGTGCGCGGGGAGGGCTTCCTGGAGGCGGCGGCCCAGGATGGTGGGCGTGGGTTGGGGTGCGGGAAAGCCCCAGGGCGGCCAACAACAACAACGGCATCAGTAATAATAAGGATGTTAGGCTCGGCGTGCAGCTGCTTGAGGGAGGGTACCTACAGCTCTGGCTGTGTGGCCTTGGTCCAGTCACTTCCCTCCGGAGCCTCAGTGTCGCCCACTGTAATATGGGTGCAACCCTTGGGGCAGGACAATCGCACACTACTGAGGAGGACGCAGAGCAAGCGCTCAGCTCCAGGTCTGGCTCGCCTGCAGAGTCTTTGTGGAAAGGTCCTGAGGTTGGGGTTACTAGGACCATTTACAGGGGGAACAGGCTCCATGGGGGTCTGTGACGCCTGTTACATACTGTGGGGTCTGAGCTGAGATTTGAACTCTGGACTCCTGGGTGGTGCTGAGCCAGTCAGACCCTGCTTGATTGGGGATCCCTGTGTTTCTTCCCAGTCACCCAGTTTGGCAGATGAGGAAACTGGGGCACAGAGAGGGCAAGTGACCTGTCCAGGGTCACATTGCAAGGATGGTGGTGGAACCACGTCACTGCCGTCACGGTCACAGCTGATGCTCACTGTACCCAGTACCTCGCCCCTCAGACAGTGCCCTCAACAATGTTTGTGGAACATGTGTTGAAATAGGAGGTGCAGGCAGAGAGGAGGAAGTCAAAGATAACTGGGAGCCAGGGCAGTCAGAGCCCCACGGCCAGCCTCGGTTTCCTCTTACCTCTGATGGTCCAGGCGGGGGCAGCTGGGGAGGGGGCCAAGCTAACCGCTGGCTGCCGCCTGAATCACCACCATTAGGCCAGATAATCACCCCCTGCCCTTCCCAGTTGCTTTCATCTGGGGCTCACAGGCCCTCATTAGGCCACACACGACGAGGGCAGATGACGGGGACTGGCCGGGCCGGTCAGTCAGTGGTGGGCACAGCCAGGTGGGGTGGCCTCAGGCAGGGGGTGAGGTCTGGGCTAACTGAGTGACCTGGGACAGTGACTGCCTCTCCTTGGGCAGCGATGGGGGTGACAGATGATTGACAGCTAGTCTGGGCGGAGCTTGGAGGTCCTCTCTCCCTCCTTCATTCTGTGGTTACTGATTGGGCTGGTTTCTCTTATGTGTTGAGCACAGAGGACACAGGTGTGACTGACACAACCTGCCCTCACGGGGTTCCCAGGGCAGAGGTGAAATATAGTTAAATAAGTGAACAAGCTATACGATAATTCCAGAGCAGGCCACACGGTGCAAATAAAATGAAAATAGGGCAGTGTATGGGAGGGTGGGAGGCCCTGGAGGGCCCTCTGAGTCTTGTATGGTGAGAAGCACCCAGCCATGCACAAAAGAGCTGGGTACCCAGCCGAGGGAAGGGCAGGTGCAAAGGCCCTGGGGTGAGGAAGAACCAGGCATGCTCAAAGAGCTGGAAGCTGAGCATGGCGGGTGAGGAGCAGTCAGACCCTGGGGCTGCACTGGGGAGCCGCAGCAGGCTTCCGAGGGAGGGCCCGGGTCTAATTCACATCTGGCAGAATTCCCTGGAGCTGCTGTGTGGGGAGGCTCAGGGGTGGAGCCTGAGGTCTGCCAGTGCCCTTCTGGGCTGAGAGTGCAGAACACAGAACTGGGAACTCAGCAGTGTCTCCAGGGCAGACTTTAGCTAGGACCTAAGGAGGAACTTCCAGAGTCAGGGGAGGGAGAGCCACTGGGAGATGGGAGCCCCCAGACTCAGTCCAAATCCACTGCCTTCACCCCTCCTCACACCCTCCCCTGGGCCTTCTGGGGGGGCAAGTGGGAGGGAAATAGCTACAGCATCATTGTGGAGGGGGCCTCGTACTCCCTGGTTCAGATGCCAGACCGGGCCGCATCGCAAGAACTACACTGACCTGCCCACACCTCCCCTCTCCCTCGTTCCACACCCCTCGGGACAAGGCTAGCCCCCAGTTCCTCCCCACATCCGGCAGGCACCTAGCCTCTCTCTTTCTCTTCTGTACTCCGTGGAATATGTCCAGGACTGGCTACCCTGAGACCCTCTCCCACCCTGCGCTAGACAGTCCTTGGAGAAGTTACCTGATGGGTCTGTCGTGGACTCCCGTGGTTCGCCCCCAGCGCAGTGATGGCAGGAGGTGTTTGATACGTGCTACCTGAATGAATGAGCCAGCAAATGAGTGATGAAGTGAATGAGTGAGTGAGCAATGAATGAACAAGCAAGTGAACAGGTGGATGGTGATGGGGGAGCTAAGGAGCCTTCTGGACCCGCCCTCCAGACCCCCCCCCCCCCAGCCCCCCGCCTCTAGAGCCACACCCCTCCAGGCCCCGCCCACCAGAGCTCCACCCTACAGCCCCGCCCCACAGAGCCCCATCCCTCCAGTCCCCGCCCCCCAGACCCCGCCTCACGACCTTCCCCCGCCCCAGGCATAGTGGAGATTCGCTCTGTCCGCGTGGGCGTCGTGGTCATCAAGGCTGTCTACGCAGGCTTCTACGTGGCTATGAACCGCCGGGGCCGGCTCTACGGGTCGGTGAGTGCTGGGCGGTTTGCGGAGGCGGCGGGGGGCGGGGACCGGGAGCGGCAGGAGTGGGTGTTGCCAGCCTCACGCGGCCGCCCCGCCCCCGCAGCGGGTCTACACGGGCGACTGCAGGTTCCAGGAGCGCATCGAGGAGAACGGGTACAACACGTACGCGGCACTGCGCTGGCGCCACCGCGGCCGGCGCATGTTCCTGGCGCTGGACGGGCGCGGGACACCACGGCGGGGCAGTCGGACGCGGCGCCACCACCTGTCCACCCACTTCCTGCCGGTGCTGGTGTCCTGACGCCCCGGCAGGTCGCCAGGGGGCCTGTTGACCGACCCGGGAGCAGAGGGTGGCCGGAGACTCCGGGCGAGGCCTGAGGTGGGGAGAGAGGGCTGCTTAGCGCGCATTGAGTGCCTACTGTGTGCTGGGCGCTGGGGACGCAGCGGCACCCGGCAGGTAGGTGGCCGGGCCCTCAGGAGCTCCAGTCTGTCACCAGTGGGAGTGAGGAACACCCAGTGGAGAGTTCAGAGTGAGGAAGGGCCCAGCAAGGCTGCTCCCAGGAGGTGACCCGGATGGGGACTGGCATTCAAGTGCGGCACAGCTAGGCACATCTCAGGGGTGGCGGACCCTGATCATTTGAGAGCAGCGAGGAGGGGGTGGTTGGGTGGAGCATTGGAGAGTGGTGGGCAGCAGATGGGGTTGGAAAAATGGCCAGGGGTACAGCAGGCAGGACCATGGGCGGCAGAGGTTCTATCTGTGTGGGCAGCAGTATAGTGGCACTAAAGATGTTCCTGCCCTGATCCACAGGACCCATGACTAACCTGACATGCCTAAGGGAATCTGGCCAGTGGATGCAGGGTCTTAAAATGGGATATGATGGTGGGACATCTGAGGGAAGCGGGGGGGGGGGGGGGGGGGGTTAGACGCAGATGTCGCAGAAAGAGACTGCGAGATGCTCGCTGTTGGCTTTCCAGAAGGGGCCGTGGGCCAAGGACCATGGGCCATTAAGAGCTGGAAGAGGCTGGAGACACTTCTCCCTTGGAGCCTCTGGAGGAGACCAATGATACCTTGATTTCAGGCTCCCCCTTTCCCCCCCAAAAAAAGGCCATTGCTGTGGAGTTGATTCTGACTCCTAGAGAAGTTACGGGAGAGTAGGACGTGGATCTGTCCCTAGGGCTTCCCCAGCCATGATCTTCACCGGCGCAGACCCACACGGCGCCCTCCGAGATTTCGGCCTAGTCTGACCTCTGACTAGCAGCAAGACTGCGTGATCGTCCAGTGGTATTGTTACAGCAGTGTGACACAGACTTCGTGTGTGTGTACGTGGGGGGGGGGCTTTATGTCCGAAACTGTTGCACTAATAAAAACACTTTCCAGGCCCCTCAGTCTGGTGGGAAAAGGTCAGAGGCTGGGGGACAGTGCCCGGAGGTCTGTAGGCGCAGGGCAGGCACGGCCACATGTTGACTGAGTTCAGTCTCTCACCAACCAGGGGTGGAGCTCTGTGGCTGGGTGTTTCTCCTGTAAAGTGGGCCCTGTGCAGGCTGACAGGGAGCGCAGCTGAGGGCCATCTGGCTTGGTGTCAGGAGGGTGAAACGGAAGCCAGGGAGAGGACAGGAGCCAAGGGCGCTGCAGACTGGACACTCACCTCCATGAAGGCCAGAGGCCTCACCTGGGCCGTTCCCCCCAGGGGCCACTGGCATTGTCTGGGAACATTTGTGGTTGTCCTGACTAGGGGGTGCTCCTGGCACCGAGTGGTGGGCGCTGGGCATGCTGCTCTACAGCCTGGAGCGCACAGGAACCCCCCAGAGAAGGGCCTGGCCCTGTCAGCAGTGCCGAGCGGGAAGAGCCTGCCCTGGGGAACTGGCCACCGCACCCAGCTCTACCCACGTGGATTTGGCGTCAGGGACCAAGATGAAGAACACTGAGACCACTGAGCCCTTGGGGCCTGGACCAGTCCTGCTCACCCCATACTTGTCCCAGAGAAGTGGAGACGTGGCCACACAAAACCAGTGCACTGTGATCCCAGCCCAAATTGGCCATCAAACCATGGTCTGTCTGTATCGGGGACATGGCCCACAGCCAGAGACCACAGTGTCTGTCCCACAGCAACCTGGAGCGTCCTCAGCCATTCAAAGTGCCAACTCTAGTAGGCGGCACACTGAGACCCCACTTACACATTCCAGAAACACCAAAGCACAGGGCCGAGGGTGGGCTCCAGGGTAGCAGGGGGCAGGAGAGGGCTGTGGCCACCGAAAGGCCACAGGACAGACTTGCTCTGTATCAGACTGTCCCCGTCCATGCTAGTGACATGTGGCCCCAGGGGAGGCGGGGCACCCACCAGATCTCTGGTGTTTCTTATAGGCATTATGAATAAAAGTTTAGTAACACGGAAAGCCAGGCTCTGGCCCTGGGAGGCCTGTGGGGGTAGGGAGAGCTCCGCCTCCTCCCTGCTGGTTCTGGAGCCTGGAGTCCGACCTGGTTCTCACGGGGCTGGAGTCAGGGTGTCTGGTTACTCTGAGGCTCCAGGGGAGAATCGTCTCTGGCCATTTTCAGCTCCTAGGGGCCCTGTGTTCCTTGGCCCATGGCCCCTTCCTGCGCCCCAGGTAAGGACGTGTAATCACCTCCCACCTCAAGACCCTTCACGTCACCCCCTACAGGGCGTCACACCATGTGGAGTATCATGTTCCCCGCTCTGAGGTGTGGAGCTGTCATTCTGTGGCCACAGCCCGGAGGGGATGCCTGCACATATTCACGGAAGCCACACAAGGCGCCTTTGGTGCCAACGCAGGTGCTGACCCCACACGCCTCTGCACGTGCACACAGCCTGAGACCCTTTGCCCAGCTCCTCGGGTGGACTGGGACGGGGGTCCAGGACCCACTGGCGGCCAACAGCTAATGGACAGAGGGCTCGGAGGGCTGCAGGCACCTGCGAGCCAAGTACGGGGGGGGGTGTTTGCTGGTCTGCACCCTGAGCTCTGGGGCCATGGAATCCAATGAAAGTGTCTGTCTGTTGGCCACTGCTGTGGCCCCGCCAGAAGGCCCCCCCCGACCAGCTGTCTACACAGCTGGCTCTCGGACCGCATGGCAGTAGGCACCCAGACGCTGTGCCCGCTACAGAGACGCAGGGGGGAGGACTGCAGTCAGAGGGCCTGAGCCCGCACCACAGCCTGGCTGCCAGCCCTCTGACAGCACGTCACCTGCCAGGTCCTGACCTCTGTGCAGAGCTGGGTTTCGAGCACAAGCTGCCACCATTGGCAGCCACTGACCCACGTGACTGATGAGGCCGAGACCTGAACGCCACAAGAAGCTAACGGCATGGGGACAGGGCGCACCAACACTGCCAGCAGGCTGCCTTCTGCTGCAGCGGGTCTGCCGGCCGCACGGCTTGCGGTGCCGTCTTCCCTCTTGACATGGCTGGAGAGGGGCTCCCTGGGGTTCTTGGGAGCCCCGAGCAGCAGGGCACAGCCACCTTGACCCGGCTGCTCCTCGCAATGCTGCAGAGAAGGAAGACGCAGACCACCCGCTTCTTTGTAAGTTGGTGTATTTTAACCAGCTCTTAAGATACACGTATTTTCCTTTAAAAAAAGGTCTATCAGAGCAGCTCGTTCTGCGTGTGGTGGCCCTCACGGTCTGAGGCCCGGAGGAGTCCGCGCCGTGGTGCGCCGAGCTGCCCTACCCGTCTCTCCACACCTGCACAGCCACGTATGAGCTGAAACGTCCGTTTATTTCAAAGCAGTAATAATTTAAAATTATAAAAACCTTTCCGCTGTTGAACATTTAGGGGCGAGGTCAGAGATGGGAAGAGGGAAGCCGGGCGGCACCTGCGAGGTGGCCACGTCCGTGCGCGCAAGGGCGCGGGCAGTCCTCTGCAAGGCCAGCCAGGCAGGGCGGCCGGGCTCCTCACTCTGCACAGGGGTTCAGGGGCTCCTTCCCCTTCGCTCAGGCAGCTGGGCCACGGGACACCAACGGAGGACACGGGGTGGCGCCCGGGGCACCTCCAAGTCCGTGGATGGCCGAGTGGTGTCAAGGGCTGGGAGGGGCAGGGCGCTTCCAGGCCCCCGAGGGTCTCGGCACCCGGCCCTTCCCTCTGGTGCTGGGGGAGGGTCCCGTGCTCACTCAGGGGCGGGGCAGGCAGGGCAGGACTCAGGAGTTACTGGCCGCGTTCTCGTTGCTGGGCGAGCTGGAGGAGGAGGACGACGACGAGGAGGAGAAGCTCACCCTGGTCAGCCCCGGGGGGTTGGTAGCTGTGTTCTGTCCTGTGAGGCTCTTCCGGCAGACAGGGCAGCTGTCATGCTTGGTGGGGACAAAACGGGTTTGAGTTGGGCAAATGCCACGGCTCACCTGCCCCAGCCAGGGCTGGGTGGGGGTGGGGCTTAGAGGGGTGGGCGGGCGGCTCACCTGCTCCAGCCAGGGCACGATGCAGTTGTTGTGGAAGAGGTGGTTGCAGGGCAGCTGGCGCACACTCTCCCCCAGCGCGTAGTCGTCCTTGCACACGGGGCACTCGAGCCCAGAGCCTGTGGGAGGGTGAGGTGAGGGCCGCAGCCGGGAGCAAGCCCTGCTGCCCACGCCAGAGTAGAGCTGGCTCTGGGGGACCCCTGACACCTTGGACCTCAGGGAGGGCCTTCTCCACAGCCTCAACCCCAGGTGCCAAGGAGGGGCCTGGCAGCACCCGGGGCAGCCTCGGGGTGAGGACAGGCAGGAGGGTGATGTGTGGGGCCCTAAGCTGCCCGCCGCGCTGCAGGAGCGCACCTACGTGCTCCTCAGTGACGGGGACAGTGGGGAGGGCCTGGATTCTCTCTTTGTCTGCAGGCGGGGGGCCCGTGTTCTCAAACTGATTGAGGAGCTGAAAAGACAAAAGGCCAGACTGCTGGGAGCTCCAGCGTGGGTGTCTCTGCCCATTCCTGGATGCTGTCCTCCGGTACTCACAGCCCTCTGGGCTCTGAAATGCAAGGCGCGCTCCCCTGTAGAAGCACAGGCCTTTTGTCGAGGGAACCTGCGTGAGCCATGCCCCCCCCCCCACTGCGGTCACTCTCCGCATCTGAGGCCCCACGTCATGGACCCATTCTCAAACCCCCAAGATGAAGGAGGCTTTGTGGGCGGTGCGCACAGGACGTGTCCATGCCCCCGTGCAGGAATGCCCCCGTGCCCTGAGTGCCATGGGTCCCTGTCACATCCCGTCACCACTGGGCAGGAAGCACCTTGAGGCAGGTTTGTCCAGATGGGCTGGAGGGGGGCCTGGCAGCACCCCAGCAGCACCGCCTTGTGAAGAGACCCTGGGCCCCCCCCCACCCCGTACCTGTGTGATGATGGCGTCTAGGCCGTTGGCCCCCCAGGCGTAGTCCATGGGGTTTGAATGCAGGACACCCCTGGGGGCAGAGAGGCCCAGGGTGAGCGTGGAGGGGAGGGGCAGTGACGCAGGGGTGGTGTGCGTCGGGGCCCTACTCACCAGGGGCCCAGGCCTAGGTTGGGGATGGTGGCAGGAGTGATGATGCCATTGACCAGCTGCTGAATGATCCTGGAACAGAGTGAGGGGCAGGTCACAGCCAGCAGGCATCCGGGTAGCTCTGACAGCTAGGCCAGGCTCCGCCCACTCACGCAAAGCTCCTCCACAGGCAGGGTGGGAGAGCCCACTGGGTGGCCCCACTCACCCTTCCAGTGTCGGGACGCCCTCATGCCGGCTCGTGGTGCGCCGGGCAGTGAGGCGGGCCCGGGGCTGCCGAGCGCCATAGCGGTGCCGCGAGGGGTGTTCCCGATCCCGCCGGCTCTCGGGGTCCCGGCTGTCATCAGGCTGCGCCCCTGGGGTGAATGTGGGGATCTCGAAGCTATCGTCAAAGATGCCGAAAGCAAACTGCCCATAGCCCTGCGGCAGTGTGAACAGATGCTGGTCCACATTCTGTGGGGAAGGAAGCGACAATGAGGCAGGGTCCGCGTGCACGAGACATCCACGTGACAGTGTCCTCAGCCATGAGGACCACCCCCCACTCACCTCAAACGGCTGCCTGCTCTGGTCCGTGGGGGCTGTGGAGGGGGCAGAACCATTTTCTGTATTTCTGGGGGGGGACGGCAGGTGTCAGTGTGGGGAGACGAGGTCCCCCCAAGGCTCACCACTAGTCCCATTTGTCAGGGATGCTTTGGCCCCAAGGACTAGACTCTCAGACTTCCTGACCACATTGTTGTCAGACTAGCCACCCAGGCCCTGCACGTGGAGGCCAACGGGCCACACTCGGAGGCTGTCAGACCCAAAGGACCTGGGATGGACTGGCTGCAGGTGAGCATCTCCGCAGGCTGAGTCCACAGACCTCAGCTGGCCCCCAGCCCCGCCTGTGTCCTCTCATGCCAGGACCCCGGAAGGTGTGTGCCATCACCCCATCTTCCAGCACAAGGCCCCAGGGCTTGGGGAGGGGCAGGGGCCCATGCCCCAGGGTCAGGAGCCCCTTAGTGCCCACATGCTGCCAGCTGTGTGGCGACAGGCCCGGCCCTCCTGCCCCGAGGGCTGTTACCTGGTCTCTTCCGGAAGTTCTTCAATGAAACCCGATTCGCACCTCGGGCAGATGTAGTCCTGCAGGGAGAGGGGCAGGGGGGTGAGCACAGCCACAGAGGACATGCTGGGTAGAGACCCCAGGTTGGGGCGCTGCCAGAACCATGGTGAGGAGAACATGAAGTCACAGCTTCTGAGGTCCTCTGTGGGTTGTGGCGCCTTGTGCAGGTGAGGCCCGAGCCCCAACTCCCACCGCAGGGTGCCGACCCTGAGCCCTTCACATGTACCTCCAGAACACAGAATACACACCGGTGTTCTGGGGACACAGCTCCCTCATTCCGTCCTCGGCCAACAAAGGCTGTGACAAGGCCTGCGGGGAACCAGTCATCACAACCCGAAGGAGCTCCCCGCCCCCCACATCAGGGAATTCAACAAAGGTGCCAGGAGCCACACCGCACATGGTTCTGTACAGCTCCACCTCTGGGCCCTGCGCAGAGCGGGCACGGGGGCCAGGCGGCACCTGGGCAGACGCACCGGCGCCAACGTCCCCGGACAGGGCTGCTGTTTTCTGCCCGGGCTGCAGGGCTGAAGCCCGGCCGCGGCCGCCTTCCGCCTCTCACTCCCACATGCGACACACTCACTCACACTGTCACAGGCTCGCACACACCACTCACGTTCACATACACACTCACAGAGCCACAACTCACACAATTCCATCACACAAACAAGTCACTCGGACTCACACACAACACACACGCCACTCACGTACTCCTAACACTCATACATGTTGTTGTTTGCCATCGAGTCGGACCCGACTCACAGCGACCCCTCCTTGGGTTTCCAAGGCAGTATCACTACAAAAGTAGATTGCCCAACCTTCCTCCCGAGGGACTCACACATACACTCACACAAACCCACAACTTACACACAACTCAGACATACATGCTCAGACTCACAACTGACACCCACACTCCCAGCACACACACCATTCACTCATGCACACCACTCACTACTCACACCAACACACATTCACACAGTACACACCCAAACTCACAACACTGTTATACACTCTCACAGACCCACACTCAACCACTGACACTCACAAATACTCTGACACACAAACATGCTCATACACACCACTCGTGTTCACATACAGACTCACACATATGCTCACCCAACACTCAAGACTCACTGTCACATGTATGCACACGCAGATGGCTCTGCAAGGCCCCAGTGGAGCCATGGGCAGTTCAGCTGTGGCGAACCACAGGACACCTGAGGAGAGGGGGACCACCCAGTGATGGCATGGTGCTGGCGCCCCAGCTCCAAGCTCGCTACCAGAACCAGCCACAAGCCCTAGCCCTGTCCCAGGCACCCTGAAGGCTGTGTCACTGCGTGCGTGAGGCGTCCAGGGAAACGCAGGCACAGACAAGGAAGCCTAACTGGATGGTACGCTCGCAAGAGTTTATTCACGTGTGACGTGGAAGGCGAAGAAGGTGACGTTTCAGAAAACCCAGGACATGTGCAGGCAGAGGAGGGGATGACTGAAGGGAGAAACTTCGACGGAGACGGAGGTGGTACAGGGGCTGTGGGTCCACGAGGAACCTCGGCCTACGCTGCTGGGCAGCGGGCTGGGCTCAGGTGACGGGGCACAGTGCAGCCAGGGCCCCAGGCTCTGTGGGCAGAGAGGCCAGACTCCCCGCCAGGACCAGCCCCTCTCAGAGGCTCACCCTATGACACGCCCTTCACAGCTCTGCGTGCCCCTCCTAGCTGTCAGCCTGAACCTTTGTCTTCCTGGAACACGGGCAGCCACCTCCACCCAGAGTAAGGAAAGCCGTGCTCTCACGCACCGCGTGCCAACCCTGGGCCTCGGCACTGCGCCCCCAGGGGCCCTGATGCCCACCTCTCCTCTAGCCCCTGCGGCTCCCTGACCCGATGCTCTGCATGTTACCCCTCGGAGCTCACGGCCACCTCCGGGACACCATGCCCCCGACCCTCTGCCGGAGCCTTCCTCCCCCAGATAGCTACCTGGCTCGCCCCCTCGTGACGTCGGGCCTCTCTCAAACATCACCTCCGGCTCGCGCCTCGGTCTCCCCACCTGTAAACGGAGGACAACCTCAACACGCAGGACTCTGACCACTGGACGCGCCCCAGGGCGCCGGGCTGGCCTCCTCTGCATCCCTGTGCTGACGGCCCCGGCCCCTCCCAGGCTGCTGGCAGGCTGGGCCTCCGCGCACAGGGCGGGCAGGGCCGCCTGGGGGCCTCGCCTCACTGTGGGCACAGTGCAGAGCCGGGGCGGTGTGGTCACACTGGACAGAGGCGGAAATGCGTGTCTGGCCAAGGGACCCAGGGGCAGGAACCCAGAATGGATCTCCCTCCATGCGTCCCTCTCGGGAAACAGGCGCCTGGACCCCAAGGCACGGCTGCCACCAGCGGCGTGCCGTTCGTCCTGCAGAGCCACACAGAGGCAGGCTGATGCTGAGGCCTAGGGACAGGAGTCCGCACACGCGGCTCAGGCCTGCTTGCTGCTCGTCAGCACAGAACACCCCTCTGCAGGCGGGCACGGGCACCCTGAGCTGCGACCCTGCTACCATGCCAGGTCCTCACTCTGTCCTCGCGCCTACCGTGACCACTCACTCACTCCTGGTTCTCCAGATTACCCATCTGCAGTCCTGCCGTCTGTCCCTCCCCACCTTCCGTCTCCGTGCCACACACTGCCTGTCCATCTGTCCAGCCTGCCCTCTAGTATGGTGCTGGATGCTGTCCTCACAGTGAACCCCCGACCCTCCCGAAGGGCTGTCAGGCGGCTGCGAGGCCCCTCTGCGCACATGAGCCCCATGGACGGGGGATATATATGCTCAAAGGCCCTGTGTGCTAGCACTTGTCCCAGAGCACTGCCAGCAGACACACAGAACCAGGGCACAGGGACAGCCAGAACGGACGGCTCTGGGGGCTCCCGGGCCCGGCGTGCGGCCAAAGACACAGCAGCAGTTCACATGTGCTGGCTGGTGGCACTGTTAACACAGTCCCACCCACTCAGGGACGCTCCCGAGAGGGGATGGGTACTGTTAATGACTGTGGGTACGACAAGCCTCTTGGGACTGGCCCAGTCTGAGAACGCATCCAGGAGGCACCCCTGCCCTGTGCCTGACCTCTAGACAGGGCAGGGGCTCCGGTGCTCAACACTCACGCTCCGCTGCACCCACCAGAACTCCAAGGGACGCCCACAAGGGTCCCTCTCCACCAACCCACCTCGACCAAGACCTGCCAGCCGGCCCAGATAGCCCACACCATGCCAGCACAGGCACACCCCGGCACACCTCAGCTCTGGCAAGGATCAAGTCCAGGCCTGCACAGGCCTCAGGGTCTGGCTTCCACACGCCCCTTTCCCCCTCAGCCGCCTGCAAGGGCACCACCGTGGCCCAGAGATGGCCATGCTCTCCATGTGCCCAGGGCTCCCCCAAGTGTGGGTCACAGGGCTGCTACTGGGCAGGTGGGGACACTGAGGCGAGGAGGCCGAAGAACTTGCCCAAAGCCACACAGCTGAGAAGCAGTGCGATGAAGCCGAGAGCCTTGGGGTGGCAAGAATGTTCTGGAATGCTGGGACAGGAGCTGGTTCCCTTCTCCGTTAAGAACTAGACGCTTCACAAGTACGTACGTCCCTTATCACTGCAGCCTCCCACACGGCGCATGTCCCCACTGTCTCAGGGCTGTGCGTGGGCTTCCCAGGCTGGATGTCCCAGGTGAAGCCAGTCTTCCATACCTGGCTTGAAAAAGCTCCCAGACTATTCCCTGGCTAATCCTGCCTGAATGCGTAAGAAACACCTTGGTGACCACACACAGGCAGAACCCATGGCCCTGCCTTCCTACAACTCAAGATGACAGCTAAGGGTTTACCTCCTCCAGGAAGCCTTCCCTGACACCCCCATTATTTGCTTTCATGGAACGTATTCCACTTGTGATGAAATGTTTGTCAAACGTTGTTCGACGCTGCCTCCCTGATCAACTCCTGAACACCGAGGGCAAAGGCCACGCTCGTCACCTGTGATTAGAAGGCAGGCTCTCATACAGGCCTGGCAAACGTTAGGAAAGGCCACAGAGCCAGGAAGCAGCCACACAGAGGCAGGCCTGGTCCAAGGCTCCTACCAGCTGAGAGGGGCTCCCCCCTGCCTGGGAAGGAGGCGAGAAAGCAGAAGAGCGCGCGGCACACAGGAAGCCAGGAAGACTTCCGGAGGCTGGGGCGCCAGCGGATCAAGCCTCAGCGCCCCAAGTCTGTGCGCACACACCAAAACGTCACCTCATTTTCCTGTCTCCTGGGGAGGGGGAAGCCCCTTGCCGCGGGCAGCCACATGCCCCTACCCTTTCTCCGCTCTGGGGCCCAGCACCGCCGCTGTCCCCTCCAACACCCCTGCCTTCCCTGGGACCACCTGGGTCCCAACAGACCCTGCGGTGAGCCCCACCCCTCACCCCGCAGGATTGCGCTCTGGTCCTGCAATCACAGCGGTACCACCCTCCCTCGCCGGGAAGCCACGGCCGCTCCACGGTGCCCTGGAGCTGGCTTCAAATGCCCGGATGGGTTGGGGTACGCTGCCAAGCCCCGTCGCGGCCTGCCTTTGCCAGAATCCCCCCGACCTGCAGGGGCCCTGCCATCGCGCAGCTGCGGGCCAGAACGCCGCCTACCGGCCTCAGCTTGCTCCTCAGTAAGATGGGAGCGACACCTGGCCCTGCCAAGAGACCAGGGGCTGCTGGTTACACGAGGCGGCGTTCAGTGTGGGCCAGGGAGCGGTCAATGACCACTCCTGGGCATTATTTTCAAAGTCTGGGGCCCCCATGACCTCTTCCTCTAGAGCCCGACCCCTTCCTTTCGCGCGCCTCGGTTTCTCCATCTGGACAAGCGGGCCAGTGGAATCGAGGAACGAGCGCCGTCGCCCGGCCCTGCTACACCAGCTGGGCCGACCCGCCTCTGCCCGGGCCTCCGTTTCCTGCATTGCCAGCAAGACCCTGGGTCTTGGCGGGGTGACCCCGGGCCGACGCTGGCCGCGAGCCTCAGTTTCCCCGCCCGGGTCGAGGCCTCGACTCAGGCCTGAGAAGGCAGGCCCCGCCGCCCGCTCGCCGCCGCCCCCGGCCGGGCCTCACCGGCAGGCGCGGAACGATCTCGACCGAGCAGCAGTGGCAGAAGTACCGTCCTGGCTGCGGCGACGCCTCGGCCATGGCCACCGCCGCTCTCGCCGCGCCGACCGCCCCCCGCGCGGCGTGCGCCGCCGGCCGTTTGCTACTCCCTCGCCGGCCGACGCGCCCGCGCACGCTTACGCATGCCCACGCACGGGACGCACGGCACGGGACGCACGGCACGCACAACGTGGGGGCGGAGCGCGGGGGAAGCGGCACAGACAGCGTGCACGGCGGGCGGTGTCCTGAGGCGACGGCGGCCGCCGAGGGGCAAATTAGGTGCGACAGTCGATCTGGACGCTGGGCTACGGAGGGGGCCAGGTCCGCAAGGCGACGCCAAGTCTCCTTGGCAACCCGGTCTCGGGGCACGGCCAAACCCGCAGACTGAAAACATAGGGGGCCGGGTCTTTCGCGGGGCGGGGCTGTCTGCATGGCAACCAAGGGGCGGGACTAGGCCCGGAGACCATGGTTACAGCTACCCGGCGGGCTGCACGAGGCCGGGCCTAGCCCCTCCTCCGAAACCTGCACTGGCTTCATTGCTCTGGTTATTTCTCTGACCTCGTCTCCTGTGACCGTGGCTCAGACTCACTGTCCTCACTGCTGGAATACCTCCGGGTGCCCGGTGCACCGTCCCCTAGACGCCTCGTGACTTCCTCGCACACCTCTTTTGAGTCTGCTCTAATGTTACCTTCTCAGGACACGCTCTTCGGTACCACTTACTCTCCTCCGCCGCCCTGGACTGTAAGGCCGCCTCCACGCGAAAGGCGTTACTGTGTCATGTCAAGCAGCACACAGGGACGCCATGAACGTTCGTTGAAAGAATGCCGACAGGGGACCCTTTCCTGGATGAAGGGAGGGCCCCTCAGGTTTAACCAACCCCCCATGGCAAACCCCATAGCAGAGGAGAGGTTATGAGGTCGACAGGGGTTGTGGATCTAACAGCCCAGGGACTTCTAAGTGAGGATGGTTCAGGGGCCAGCACCCTCTACCCCCCAAAATCAACAATTCCCGGGGTTAGCTCAGCCCTATCAGGCGTTTGCGTCTTTGTTCAGTCCACAAACATTTACTGAGCTCCTACTGCATGCTAGACCTTGTGCTTGACGCAAGGACTCCGTCAGTCGGGCAATGAAAATGGTGGCTTGGACATGTCCCGGAGTCATGGGGAGACAGAGTTGAATGCAGACACCCCCAACCCCATGATTTTACCAAAGGATGGTACCCTAGTGAGGGCCTGGCACTGCTTGAGGAGATGGGAGGGCTTCATGGGGGAAGAGGTACTGAAGCCAGGATTTTGAGGGATGAATAGGAGTTAGTTGGAGCCTGTGAATGAATGCCCAGAGTCCGAGGAAAGGGACTTGACTGCTGCCATCTTCCCGTCCCCTTCAAGGCTCTTGTCTGTTCAAGCCGTTCCTGTTCTGACCACCAGAGAGTGCACCAGGCCTGTCACAAGGAATCTGGGAGGGGCAGTTGTGTGGCTCCCAGCAGGACTGAGATTGGAGAATCCAGGCTCTGGTTCGCAGTCACTACTCATTCCCGGTCACCAACATTCAGCCGTTCATTCTCCAGACATTGATGAGGGTCCTTCTAGGGCGGTGGTTAAGAAGTTGGACTCTGGAGCCAGTGAGCCTGGGTTCAAATCCCCCCAAGTGAATCACCGGCTGTGTGAGCCTGGGCCAGTCACTTAACCTCTCTGGGCAGGTGGCAGAACTTTCCTCTGGGGATTTTGGGCTTGGAGCCCTGCGAGGCCTGATCCCTGCTGTGATTGCCTCTGCTGCTCTCCTGACTCTTCCCAGCCGCTAGGATGGGCCGAGCTCAGTCTCACCTCAGTCCTCACCTCGACCATGCCCTGCCAGGAATGCCCTCCCACGGCCCCTCCTCTTTCTTTCGGTCCCGTCCCACTGCACCCTGCTGCCCGGCGCCCTCTTTCCCACAACTCTCCCCACATAGAAAAGTTACAGGTATGTCCCCAAACTGGGCTATGAGTCCAGTGCCAGCACCTAGCAGGTCCTCAATAAATTCTTACCTGGCAGGGTGCTGGGGACACAGGGGGACAAGAATGTTGGGATTTGTGTATTATACGACCAAGTGCTCAGTAATCCTGGCCCCGGAGTTTAGTCCTCAGCATAGCTCCGTGGCTGCCACTTTACAGACGAGGACACTAGGACTCAGACACGGTGACACAGCAGGACTGAAACTCAAACCCAACCGTCAGGTCCTTGGCCAGGGCGCCTCGCCCACTGGGTCAACCTTGGACTGTGGCATCAGACCCCAGTGTGACCCAGTACTCTTGAGGGCCTGAGGCCCTTGGTACCCTTTTGTGACCAGGGTGGCCATCTTGCTGCTGCAGCTGATGGGTCAGACCTGGGAGGCGAGAGCCCGGCACCTCCACCCCCTGCCTCTCAGAGTTTGAGTGCCTTTAAGAGTTTCACAGCCCTTCCTTGGAAGAGTTTTGAAACTTGATTCTGAAAATGGAGTTGGGCCTGGCCCCCTTAAAGCCCAAGACAGGCCAGACCCTCAAGAATAAGACCATATCCATTGAGGAAGAGGAAGACAGAGAAAGGTCCATAGGAGGTGCAGACAACAAAGATGGACCCTTTTGCACTATGGTACTGCGTTGTCAGTGAAGGCAAACTTGGGTATATGGGCAGGCAGATGGGTGCACAGGCTGAACTATTAGGTATGTCCATGCAGGGGAGTGTGCCCACGACCATGTATAGGGTTGGCAGACATATCTCCGCAAGTGTATTGGTATGTTCTATAAGAATTCCCAGGTGTATAGTAGAGCTAACTAGAGACAAGGTTATAGTCACTGCTTGGCCACCCAGAGGGAGCGAATAGTTGGACCTGTGGGCTCGAGATCATGGTCACAGGGGACATTAAGCTCAGTTGGTGTAACACACTACCCCGCTACACAAAACACTGTTCTACATCCTACTTTGGCAAGTAATGACTGGGATCTTAAAAGCTTGCAAGCAGCCATCTAGAGGCAATGATGGGTCTCTCCTCGTCCAGAACAAAGAAGAATGAAGAAAACCAAAGATGGACGTAAACAATTAGTCCAAGCGACTGGTACACCAT